AAGTATTCTGTCATATCATGATGGCATAAGCAGCTCTGCATAAACGTTCTCTATTGACAAATGGCTGACGTGTAGCAGAAAATAAATATTTTTAGGTGTGCAGTGTATCTATTGAAAATTTGATTTTTAATAGATCATCTAAGCAAGCGAAGACTTGCCGATTCTATGCCACGCGCACTCGCAAAACACGTAAGCTTCTAACGAAGACAATTTGTCAGAAGTTGAATGCTTTTCTGCAAGGCTTTTATTTATAAATATCCCTTACAATCTCTAATGTGGGGAATTAGCGCAAGTTCAATCCGGAAGGAGCGTACTTTGTCACATTTATGACGCGATTGTCGATCTCTAAGCCGCAAACCACATTTTTTAACAAGAATCAAGTATGTGTGAAATATCTTGCGTAAATCTTGCTTCCGGCACTTGACCCCAAAAATTGAACGTGACGTATTTATCTGCGTCAAATGTAAGCACTTCCATTTATCGATAATTTTTTAATGAAACGATCAATAAAAAAAAAAACGTCGTAAATACATGATTAAAAACATATGAATTTAGAGGATATCAAAGATTTGTTCAAATAAAATTAATTAATTGAAAATTAGTCAAATACGGCGCTAAGAAAGATTTATGGAGAATCTATTTTGCTGTTTCATCATTGATTTCGTTTCCTGGTGCAATCGGTGGCACCAAAACCTGCAAACCTACTCGTGTGGTCCACTCACAGCGTGGTTTTCGAACACCTGCTGACGTAACTCGAATGCTATGTTGTACAACTCTATCCATAAGATTATCTAATATGGGCAAATTTTTTTTTTCAAATTTAGATTTATTTTTAATTTAAGTACCCAAGAACTTGGATTTTTGAATGGGCGAATTAAAAATTTTTTTATTTAATAAAAGTCCTAAAAATTAAGATAAAACGATTTTGTTTAACATATGAGTCCTCTATATTGCACCTAAATAATAATTAATAATAATGAACAGGATATTGATGGAAAAGTATATAACGTTTTGTTTCAATATCGTATTCAAAGTTATATAATTATTATACATTTGTTGAAGATCTTGCAACGCGCGTGTGTATGATTAATTTTATTATGATAACTAATTGGAAATCTCTTCGGAATGTTTCTAACCCTATAATTGACCGCATCCGCACCGCTAGGTCGGATTCCTTGAAGATATTTGTCAGTCATAATCCTATTGTGACGGGAAGACCCGACGCCTGTCCGGTTTTCTAGGAAAAATCTTTCAAAAGTACGAAGTACGAAGTTTCAAACGGCTTGTCATAGGCGCGGGTGCTTCCAACTTCGCCGGAGGTACGACATACGTAAGCATTTAGTAAGCATTCGAGAGTTAGTGAAAGGAAACGTCATCACTGACTTTAAGTGGGAGGCAAAAGAGGATACGGACGTAGTTTTGCGTGGGGAGAGCGCGCGCGTCGTAGTGGGAAAATCCGAAGCGCGAGAGGGGAACCTGGACCACACGTCCATTTCCAGACGGAAATCTCCCGTTTTGTAAGAAAGTTTCATCGGCATTTGATAGACTTCACTCGATCGTAACAAGATATCTAACATGCGGCCGTAATAATTAATAAAAGCGATGACAAACGGCAAATATAGATAATGATAGATATATCAATCCATATGCAAAACTCATTGATTATGATGGATATTCAGTGCAACGCGTCAGTTTATCAAACAGTATGCATCTCGACAAATCGCGATGTCTTCGCGCTTGTTGCAATGAGGTCGGCGAGACGACTAATTACTATCAACGTCATCGTCACTATTACGGACGTCGTTGTTATGTCTACGGAAAATACATACGGTATATACATGTCTGACGTAGGCACGGCGAAGGATCGCGACCCTAGAACGCCCGTTTATTAATGCCGTGAACTCTTCGCAAAACTCAACACTACGTAGAGGATTGTACGTATGAGATTCTCGACGACATACCGAGGATAACGAGCGGTGTCACGTCGTCTTCGACGACGGTGACAATTAGAAGAATCGCGCTTACCGCCGCGCTACTGACGCACACGTCCTCTCTACAGACGGAACGCTTCTATCCTATAATTATCTTCGTCGACAGATTCGTTTCATCTACAGCAATGTTTTAATACATTGCACTTTTCGCGGAGAACACGAATCGACTAACTACGTGTGTTCTGTGATAGGAGAAAAAAGCCATCGACATGTAATTACAATTCTAATACGAAATTAAACTGTTTACTTTCTTGCTCTGTAGAAAGTGAATACTTACACCTGTAAACATCGTGTTAAAATATTTTCTGCGTATGAAAAGTGCTTTGATTTGTCTGGCAAAATTGTGGATGTTATCCGATATAAGTCATAAAAATATATAAGTAAGGAATAGATTTAAAGATTGTGGAATTATTAACTTTGAAAACAAATTATTCTTGAATATTTTATATTTCTACGAAATTAAATTTAAACTTTTTAACGCTATATGCTGCTTATATCGAATAATGAAGCAAAAAACAGAAGTGTAAAAGATAGAAGAAACAATCATAGAATTAAGAAATAATTATCAGAAAATAAGAAAGAATAAGAAGCACATTTTTTACGATATGTAAAATCAAATGTTTGAAACTGCTTTAGCAAATTTCAATAGGCAAGAGCGAGAAGATTCAGCACCTATTCGTAATAGTGAAGATCGCCGAAGGTTCAGAGGCTGAAACTACAATGGCAGGTCGACCGTGAATCGACGCTTCGTTGGGTGACTAGCGCCTACTACGTGCATATGGTGGGGACCGGCGAAGTGGGAGCAGCAGCTCAAAAGCGGGGAGTTATGAATGAGTCGCGTAGTCCTGAACTGCCAGATATTCCGGCGGTGGGGAGCAGGAGACGCGTTGGAGGATCAGGTGGAGGGAAAAGACGATGGACGAAGGAGGTGACGGTGGCGGCGATGACGGTATGGAGAAGGAGAAAGAATAGAAGACGATAAATAATGAAGCGGCGCGGGTGCTCGAAGGAAGGGCGACGATGGTGGGAGGGATTGGCTGAAAGCGGGGTGCGGGCCACGTGCTTCGGTGGCTTTACAATCGTATATAGGCACAGGTCGACCGAGTGGCCAGTACCATACACTGACAGTCATACACGGGGGGCGCACGAGGTGATAGGAAGAGTGAAAGAGCCGGCGCCCGGACAGGAAGGAAGAGGGAGAAAAAACGAGAGAGTAGAAGGAGGAAGCAAGGGAACGAAAGAGAATACAATAGATAAGGACAGCGCGAGGCCGGCGAGAGCCGATCTACGTACGGCCAAAGCAGACGAACAGAAGTCCACTTCCATTCCCTTAGACAGCTTTACTCCTACTGTCACGGCGGGCGAACAGTTCACCTCTTCTTGCTCGCTCACATCCTATCCAGTTTGTTCGCCCGATTGACCACGCCTCTTTTCCGTCTCGGAGAGGTACAAGTGCTCAGCTGATTTTTTGACACTTCCTTGGGGACAAAACTTGCGAGCAGGTGGAGAAGAAATATCGCTCCGAGAGCGCGACGGTAAAGTGCAAGTGATAGGAGAATCAGCGATAGAAGTGGTGGTGGAAGGCACGAATTTCAAAGTGAGAAAGCCGTGGAAAGGGCGGGGGGGAGGCACGTGGGCCACCCTTAACGGTGTACCCCTCTGATTCTTCCTCTACTTCTTGAGTACCCCCGCCACCTTGTCAAGCACCCACCTCCCTCTTTCTCTCGGAATCCCACAACCCCCCTATTCCCCCCTTCCCCTCGTATAAGAATCAGTGCATCGTGTGTGCCGGGATCAGTGCCAAACAGATTGTGATTCTGTGCGGACAGTTTTTCGAGTGTGACAACCCCTTGAGCGAGGTGACATATTGCGCGGCAATACAATTGGAGCGAGCGCACACGACGCACCATCCGCGGTATTCACGTATCTATACGTATAGTCGCGGCGCGTGCATCTATTGCTCATACATATACGTCGCTGACGCGAGGAGAGGCCGCGAGGGATACGTTCGCGTAACTCCCGCCTTAAAGTCCTATACGCGCTCGCGAGTGCCTGCGTGCGTTCGGAGTGATAGAGTGCTATGCGATGAGGAACGCAGAGATACTCATAAAGGAAGAACCGACGATGGAAATCATATTCAAAGAACGCGATCAGAGAACTACGCCTCACCGAGTCCTCGATGAAACCGCGCACAAGTATCAAATCTTATTGCCGGAAGCCAAAACTCAGACATCCAACAATTTTTACAAATACAATTACAACTTACAAAATTCCAACTACACACCGATACCGTATACCGTAGCGAAAACGGTGAGAACGAAGAGAAATGATTCTCGAAGACACTTGTCGCTCAATTCGCACCTCGACAATCGAAGAAGATGGTCGTATTGTACACCACGGGTCACCTTTATCACGCTGATATGTAAGTAGAAGTTACTATCGCACACAAATTTGACCGTCATAATAAATGTGACTAAAAATTGACATTGCAGATATATCGATTGTGCGAAATTAACACCATTTCCCGAAACATGAATCAATAAGTGAAACTTGCGTCGAAAGCCGCATATACAACAATTACACAAGCGACATTAATTGTCGGATGAAAGAAATATCTTCGTTATGTGTTCCTATACAGACAACATGCTACATCAATTGATTCGAGATTGCGATAATGTCGCAAAATAGCATTACGTAATTATTTTAACAATATTTCAGCTGTTGCAACGTGCAGTTCTATCTTTACCGCGTGGTCGTTGTCAACATAAAAGTTGCATCCTCTTTCCGGCTGCAAGAGGCTTTCTCCGAATTGATTTAGAAATCATATCAGGATTTGCTTCATTTGTATCAAGCCTGCCGCGTTTATATCTCTCGCTCGGTGTTAACCTTTCGTAACATCAACACGGAATAATATATATATATATATATATATAACTAACTCGTTTTTATCTGATGTAAACATTATATCTAGAATCTTTCTATCTCAATTTCTGTGTATTAAATACCTGCCTAGGTAATCGATCGCTATCTAGAATTATATCGGCTGATACTTGAAAATAAAGCTCAAAAGTCCTATTACTCGGCCGACATCGATAAACTAATAGCTTGATAATGACTCGTAAATCCGTACCCGGAGCGTATTATGACCTGACGGTAAAACCCGCGTGTGCTTCGAAACCTTAAACATTGAACGTCCCGTGACAAGTACCATTAGAAAACGCCGGGCTCCAAGTATACTCACCGGTCTACAAGTCTACTTGGTTCTGTTTTCTATAATCGCCAATGATAATTTTACGCTTTTTTACTTTAGCTCATAAAAATTGCAATTTTAACGTTTTCTTTTATAACGGTATACCATTCTTTGCATTCTTTCGTTAATTTACCTACATTTTTTGAGGATAATAAAATTTATTGCGTAATACTAAATAATACTTTTTAAAAGTTTCTTCATAAATGAACACATTGCCTTCGTACAGTCGCTTGTGATAAATTTTTAATATTTAATTTGGATTTTTCGAAATATACAATATTGAATATTTTCTTTCACGTGCGTTGGCGAGACAAAGCATGCGACGCATCGTTTATAAATGTAACATTTCGATATTACTTTATTTATTGTCACTCGTGTCATTCTCTCTTACCACTTTGACGTCATTTTCGTCGTATTAGTCATCCGCTTCGTAACGGTCCTCCTTATCGATTCCTCATTTACGGACGGGCAGATTTAAGTCGACACGCGTTTCATTCATCGTCTTATCTGCTTCTTCCAAATTCTCAATTAAATTCAAGACACATATTCGGAGCTCTAGATTTCCCGGAATGAATTCAAAACGCGGTACGTGCCAGGAGTGTCCTATATTTGCCTGCGGCCACCTGTTGAACAGTCGGGGTTCGCTACAGGTGGTTTTAAACCCTCTTGGCTTCCAAAAGTGCGGGTGCGCGGCACGTGCCGAAACATTATTGTGAACAAGGTGCTCAACGTATTATCACTCGTTGTTAAATCATTATTAATTATTGCACGAAACTTTCTACAACAAACCAGCATGTCGATGCGACTTCGCGTCAACAATGATAGGAAACTTGACGCGTTATCCTCTTGTGACAATGAGAAATTGACAGAGAATAATTTGCGATAAATTGACGAACACACATACGCGCGGCGCGTATCGCGACCTACCGCAACGCACTTCGGTCTGTGGACGCGAACGGAAGAAAAGGGAGTAGCGGGTCGGACGTAATGGGGTATAATTGTCACGAGCAATGCGAGGACAGTGCGTCATTACCGCATTTTTCATCGTCTTTCTTGCCGGCCGACAGCAGAGATGTGCTTTGCACCGGTGTTCACCGGCTTTGCGCGCCATACTTTTTTCAACGCGACCGCGGGTTCTTAGGAATTTCGATGGAACGCCGTCGTTAAACGTCGCCGTTGAGGTAGGCTCTCGCGACACCGACGATAATGCGCACACCGATATCGGCGTAAAGTATATAAAAAGATAAAACGGCACGGAGGAGCCAGCTGTCGAACATTTCGTGGATTAATATTCGCTGACAACGGCGAAAAAAAGGGATGCATAGTTAATTTGTTATAAAACGCGGAAAAATTGAGATATTTGTCGCGTAATGAAAGTAACACGCATTAATTATAATACATGGCGGACGATAGTTTCCCACTATATCAACGTACTTCTGCGAAAAATAACAAAGTCCGCGGCACGTAGTTCCTGGATTAAGTAAATGCGAGAGTAAGTTCTGAGCGGCAAGATCACACACGGCCGTTTGAATTTCTTTTCTCACATTGAACGAGAACTCGTCTGAAAGTATGCCTATATCATCGTATTCCTTTCTCCGCCGACGAATTTGACCGATCGTGGAAGACTAATCGCATAGCAATTAAACGTCCGCGGGAGGAAAAAAAGGAAGGCGGGGTAATTAAAGAAATAAGAGAAAGTAAATGACATCTTTGAGCGACAAGTAAGGAGATACGATCGTGGACACCGAGATCATTTACGTGGATCACTGCAAGCTTCGCGACGCGATAGAAATACTTGCAGTGCGAACGGCCGTTTCTCGAGACACGTACGTTTTTCGTATATGGGCGAAAAGTACATTGCAAGTACGCACGTGTTTCTTCTAACATCATTAGCGAAAAATTAATTGGACGCTTTCCGTCAGAATTGCCATCCCTTCGAAGATATTTCCTCCCCACTTTTTATTTCCGCGACGGGAATAAAGCGCAAAAAATAGCTAGATGCGTTAATCAATACCGTTATGTGTTGTTGCAAGTAATTAGGAAGAAATAAACCAGGACAACGTGCTCACGTATGATATACGCCGTCGTGTGACAGTCAAATATTATACACAGAGGAAAATTCACGCGATTCCGCTTCCTTATTTAACGCAGGCGATTGTGCGCGCGACCTATCTGTAATAAATCAAACGGTTAAACGCGTAATTAGCGCTTATTGAAACGTATCGGCGGTATCGTCATAGAAGTATGCCCGCGTCGAAAATTATGTCAACGTTGACCGTTGTTGGCCGACACGGTTTCTGCGTTGTCATCCTACGGGGCGCAAACTTCTCCGCGCGGCAAATTGCTCTCTCATCGCAACGTAGAACGCACTTAAGAGCCGCTCATTAATATGCGTTAAGTGTTCAAGGCGTCTCCCTACGCCCCGTCCCGCTCCCCGTTTTCTCCGCATCTCGCTCTTTCTCCGTCTGCATTTCTGTCTCCCTCCGTTCGTGCGGCGCGCTCGAACCGGCCACGCTGCATCGCGCGTTCATGCACATTAAAATTAAATTTGTTAGCGCCTATACGTGACACGACGCACCTCCGGTTTTTGGTCGCGCGCCTATTCATCTCGCCGAACGATAAGTCAATCCAATACTTGATATTGTCAGAACATCCCTGTTCCGATAAATATCGCGTTGTTAACGTTCAATTAGAAATTTTTTAAATGTGATAAGTATTGCCGAATGCTATTGTTAAATGATGATTAAGCCAATCAACGGAAAAACATATCTTTAGATGTATTTGAAAGTCCATTTAGATTCCGCGATTGAAAGATAAATTTCAACATAAAAAATTGAGCGACTGGTAAAATTTTAACTATCGTCCCCAAATTAACTCTAAATTTACACTGTGTTTCGCAGTGAACGCATCGTGTCCGTTCGATGCACGCACCGTTCGATTTTTGTGACTCCCTTCGAAATGATGACCGTGAAGAGGAGTGAAGGGGAGGGGACACGGATTAAATGCAGACAACGCATCGTATGCGGTAGCCTGCCGTCGTTATATATCCTCCAAATGCGTACGCGCAACTGTTGATGGTTTGTCGTCGTACCACTGCACGTGATCCGAGGCCCCTCATCAAGGGTCGTAACTCGCGTAATAATGCGACGACGAATTCGCGGGGACGTAATTCGACGAGCGGTGATCTTGAAACTGCCGGATGATCATAAGACGGCCCCGATCGAAATCTACCATTTAGGCGCTTACTATCGACGAGTGAATCCCCGAGGGTGAAAACAGACGGAGGGTAAAGAGGCAACAAGCCGGAAGCTCGATGATAATTTCACGCAGGCATCTCGCGGCTCTCACGTCATTGATTACCGCGGAGCATTGAGCTGTACCTTCGTCTTGTATTTTTTTTTTTTTTAATACGACGATGATTCCGTTAATGATGCCCTTACACAAATTAGTCCTCGTCGCGAAATGGATTCCGCAGCGCTCATTCGGCGCAAATCTTCGGTGAGAAGATGCATTGCATTCGTTAACTTTCTATTCTGTATAATATGTATTAAAATACCACGATGATGATACAAAAATCAAGAAGAAAAGCGTCAGTCGCTCTAATTATTGCGATGGCGTAAATGAAAGACTCCATCGTGGTATCGATTCTTATTTCATCCACGAAACATTGATTTAAATTTGTATATAAAGATTTTTTAATGAACTAGTCATTAACATAATGCCTAATAATACGAATTAAATCGCAATTTTATATCGTAAATGATAATTTAATAATTAAGATCATTAAAACAACTTCTATCACGACCGTCTTTCTTTTCAGGGCTTTGCTTAGCAGTATTATACATAATACCAAT